TAGAATGAACCCTTTGACGTATTAACAACCCGAGATATAAATCTAAAAAAAAAAAAACTGATTTGGAAAAAGTTAAATTTAATATTGTGTTGTGGTTCATAGCTCAACTCTAACTCGTCCGATTTTAATGATCGATAGCTTAAATAAAAGCTCTTACATCACTGAATACTTTAAGACTAGAACAAATTACAAGCGATAATAATAACTGGATATATGAGAAAAATAATCTGAAAAATAATTAAAGTACGAAACGTCCGTAAGAAATGTATGGGGGGGGGAGTTTTCATTTCAATATATCTTCGAAACGAAAAACGATATTTACAAACGGTTTTCGGAATTGAAATTAGCGTAAACATCTAGTTTATAATAATGAGTCACAACACCAGCATTAGATTTAAAAATTTGTATTAATATCCAATATGGTGGATCCAAGACGGCGGGCCAAAAACACTAGCTAGGCCACACTTTCAGACAAAACACCCGGTATTACACGATTCTATATGACATTACCTATCTATCACCACCAATCATACAATTGCTTAATACAAAAACACAAGAAATTACATATGACCCAGAACTATAGTTTATTTTATTTTATTTTATACCTATCATTTGTTAGATTTTTTTATTGCTACAATACCCCCGTAGCAGCAGACCTGTATACTCAACGAATTGCAAATGATTCAATAAATAATTAAAATGGAGCCACACATCATCATTTCTCAAAGTATGTTCATGGACAAGCATGCAAAAATATTGACCATAAGAATACCACGGGAAGTGAGTATGCAGGTTTGCTGCCACGGAAATGAAAAAAATGGAGGATTTTAGGCCATAATCAAGTAGATCTCTACTAAATTAAGCCACATACCAATTATTATTAAGATATGCTGAGTAATAAGCTAGATATACAATTTTATTTTTTCCCATAAGGATAACATGGGGGTAGTGGGGTCTTGCTTGGGGACAATGTTTTGTGTTTTCCGCCTTCAATATCTCGGTAACTAATGGTCATAGAGCAATGATTTAAAACACCAAATTGTTTGATTTTTTGAGCTGAATTCAATGGTATAAATTAAAATTCGATTATTTTACTCTGAAAAGAGTTATTATCAATTTAATGAATAGATGTCACACATGGCGGCCATCTTGGATTTAAGACGTCATAAAAACCAAACCCCGCAATTTGAGGGTAAACACCCGGTACTACACCATTATGTGACATATAATAAAGAGATTCTACATAGTCACACATTCCCTTCACAAAAAATCCCACGGAAGCTAGATATGTGCAGTTTGCTCCTGGACTATACGGGAATTCAGTAGTCAGTTGAAACCGTGTACAATTCAGATCAGCTAGTTTACACTTATAAAGACAAAGTTTCTTGCTTAATCCAGTTACTGTAAACCACTATTATTTTGAAAAAAAATATGGGCACGGCTCATATGGGCAACGTGCCAGAATGTTTGTCTCAGACAATATCGCCTATCACAAATAGTAGACCTATAATTTATGTACCTTAATGATGTGTCAGAGTGGGCAAAGGCAGTGTCCACGGTTGCGTCTATTGCTTGTCTCTACCAACGAAGTGAAACACACTTTCTGACTAATTATGGTAAAAACGTACCTTGTCATACAATCCTTGATAAGTTTTTTTAGTATCGAAAATAACTTTCTACATGTTTCGGTGGTTCTTCAATTCCACCATCGTCAGGCACACAAAAGGATCCACTTCTTGAGGTGTCGTCAGAGGTGTTACACACATTTTACACAAACACAAAACACGAAACGATTAAATACGGTAACAGATAGGCCTATCAACTTATGTAGGTACATTGCCGCGGGCAGGACTGGAAGTTGACTGAACCAGGTTATGAGCTGATATTGGACTATTGTAGTGACGAAGTAGAGTGTTAGAAAATATAATGGGATTCATAATTGAGTTTTTCATTAAAAATTTGTGTGCTGTCCCTGGTTTTTATGTTCTTATGTATTTCAAACTCCTCCAAGGTATTTAATAAGTTTCCTTTCCCACAGTAATGTAGAATGTCGAGACCGTCATTTATATCCAGCATATCATGGTTATTCTCAATAATAAGTTGAGCGAAATTGGATTTCTGCAAATTAATTGTAGGGGCTGGTCGATGCTCTTTGTATCTTATTTTAAAAGCTCTCCCACTTTGTCCTACACAGGTGCTCGGGCAATCAGCACATTTTAGGCGGTATACACCTGTCTTTTCGTATTTATCAACATGTGGGCGCTTGCCTTTAGATATGTTCTGCAGCCGATTTGTAGTTTTAAACGCTAGTTTAACACCATTTTTATTGAGATCTTTCTTTAAATAGTTGTTTATTTGATGGTTGTATTCAACGCAGCAATACACTAATTTGTTATTATCATTATTTGCTGGCATGCGGCATGTATTTTCCTTTTTCTTTGCAACGATTTTGTCCACCATCTCAGATTTGTATCCATTGGCCACGGCAATGTGTTTTATCATGTTAAGCTCTTTATTGTAGTTTTCTGGCCTTAGTGGGACATTTAGTAGTCTGTAGACCATTGAGTTATAGGCTGCCAGTTTTTGAGAATATGGATGGTAAGATGTGCTATGGATGGTTTGGTCAGATGTCGTGGGTTTACGGTATATGCTATACTCCAATGTATTGTTGCGTTTTTCAAGAGTGAGGTCGAGAAAATTTATTTTGTTGTCTACTTCCTTTTCCACAGTAAATTTTAGGTTCGGCGACACAGAGTTTAAATGTTGGTGTAGTAAATCAAGTTGACGATTGTTGCCATCAAATATTATAATAGTGTCGTCTACATATCTAAAGTATTTCAGTATTCTAATTACATGTTTGTTTTTGTCTGAAAAAATGAATTCATTTTCCATGTTATTTAAATAGATTTCTGACAAGATGCCTGAGAGAGGGGAGCCCATGGCAAGACCTTCATTTTGCTTGTAGAATCTTCCATTGAACGAAAAATAATTTTGGCCTAATATTTCCTTTAGGAGACATATTATTTCTTCTATGGCTTCAGGTAGGAGGCTTGAATTTTCTTCGAGGCTTGAAAAACTAATTCGACGGTTTTGTCTATTGGAATGTTGGTATATAGGTTTGTAATGTCAAACGATGCTAAAATATGGCGTTGTTGAATGTTGAGATTTTTAGTTTGTTCAATGAATAGGACAGTTTGTGTCCTAAGAATTTTCTCTAGGCGTTTAGCAAGTTTATAAGTTGGGGCAGTGGTGTAATTGACAAGAGGCCTGACAGGGACATTATCTTTGTGGATCTTAGGTTGTCCACTGAGTTTTGGAGCAGCAGGATTTATAGCTCTTAATAGTGAAATGTCTTTATCAGTAAACAACACTTTACTCTGGTTCATTATCTTCTTGATACGCCTCTGATAAGTAGTTGTAGGATCCTTAGATAACGAGGTAATATTGTTGTTAATAATGAACTCTACTACTTTATCATTATATTGAGCCTCGTACATTACAATCGTTGTGTTTCCTGTATCAGCCTTACACAGGATTGCATTATTGGCTTTTAGTTTATTTTTCAGACTTTTTAAAGCAACAATATCTTTCTTTTGAGACAAACTTAGTTTTGGTGTACATTGGTTATTTTTATTTAATTTTTCAGACATTTTAAACCTAATGACATTCCTATCCTCCTCTTTGAATGAATTATAACACACTTTCTTCCGATGCCTATATTGGGATAGGCCTCTCTTGGACGCTTGAGATCTTAGTACTGTTGACGGTTGATACGGTTATCCCAATGATGACCGAAGTTGAGATAATAAGAGCTCAGAGTCCCAGTTTTACCAGGGTATGTTCTGCGCCAAGAAGCTCGAACATGACCGGTATGCGGACGAGATCGTAAAAGGCTGAAACTGTGTAAGAGCTGATGGCTAAGGTAACACTCTGGCCTTCTCTAAAGAAATGTGAGAAACAATCCCAGGTCTGTTTTCAACAGAGTATAGTGGGTTTTAAGGGAATGGGCTGATGAATTCAGGAAACTCGTTGTACAGTTTGTACACCTGTACACCTGGTACCCGTGGTATGCCACACTCTAAAAATAAAGCTTAATCCCATCCATGGGTATTTCCTTTGTCCATAATAGATTTGAAATATTTATAATCATATCCAAATATGAGAAAAAAGAGAATTAATTCAGCTTCAACAGTGAAGATTTATGAATAAAATGACAACTGGAAAACAAGATACAGTACACTTGATATTTGTCACTGAAATTTCTTGTCCCACGATAGTTGTCCTGAAATATCAAATTCCTCTCAACAGGGAAGTTTTCGATAACGTTTGTTGAGTTCGGGAAAGAAAATAAAAATCACCATGGCCTCTTCCATTGAAATAACCTCTAACCCTGGCGTTGATCATGAATGCTTTATTGTAGACTAGCTTTTTTTTGATTATTCAGAAATAATTAGATGTCATTGAGTGAGATTTAATCAAACCTTTTCTAAAAAATACAAGCTCCTACATCAATGCTTCTATGTTCACCCGTGAGGGAAACGTTAATTCCCTTTCCTCCCATCAACCAAGCTCGCAGTCGTTGCTTTTTGGGACAACTTAGAGGGATAAAAACATTAGTGGCATTAGGTACGCACCCATAGATGTATATAGTCTATCAGCAAATATTCTGGTCTTGTAATATTTGTAGAAACCTATAAGAGCCATCAGGTGGTAGTAATCCATAGTGTCCATAGTTGTACGTTTTAAAGATGTGACCGTAGGCCTAACGGCCCGGACACAGACAAAGTAATTGCTCCTGCTTATACATATACTTGCATGTGATATTTTTATTCTACTGAATCAATAGTTGCTTAGCTTTTAAGGATTATAGCAATTTTAACAATTGGTAATAAGGGGAGAACAAAATTCAGTGCTCAGTGTTTTAAAAGTTAATTTATTACCAGACATATGACTATGTTTTTATTGGCTTGTCATTAATAAATTCATCCGTTAATTTTTAGGTGACAGAAATATTTAGAGGATATAAGGATATGTACCGTGGAGATCAAACCAATTGGCCATGTCACAAGAAGAAAGTTTAATGACCCTAGGAGGGTAAAATAATTTGGAAGACCAAATGCTGTAACTTACAAACATTTCAATTACAAAAACATGTTATTATTCGTACATTTTAAAATCTTCTTGTTTCCTGTTCCAAAACACCTCCAATTTTCACAATATTTATACTTGTATATTTATACTTTTTACTAGCTGACCCATGCGAAGCAATCATACAGTATTCTTAACACAACATATACATTGCGCCATTGATGTATGTGTTCATTGAAGTAAGGATTATGCGTTTTTAAATGTTAGATTATGTATTTTCTAATTGTAAGATTAAGTTTTTTCCATATTTTACATCATTCTACAGGTTTACAGGATCTATTAGACACTATTTTGGAAGTAAAGATATTGTCGTCTGTAAATATTTGTAAATAGGTTAATGACGAAATTTCGGGTGGAGAAACAAAATTTGATTTTAAAAAACGTAATCGTCGTCTCACCTGAAATTTGTCACACCTTAAAATTGTTCCACATCGCCTAGCCTACTATGAGATAGTCCAGGATTCTAACATGTTCGTTAATTAATTAACGGTTCGAGTTTATTGGCTCAGACTCGGAATATAATTACAACAAACTATATTAGCATAACTTAACAAGTGATCATCACAGCCACTCAAAATATACGTTGACATCGAATTTGGAAATTAATGCCGCGCGAATATAACGAAATAATTTAACGAGGTTTAATAAAACGTGAATCGGTACTTGGTTTACACCTAAGTTACTTGCTATTACTATTTATTATCACTTTGTTATTACTATTGTTATTACTCTTCTAGTTAGTACTATTGCAAATGCCATCTCATATTGTATACACATATTTTGTAAAAAGGTGCAATCCGTTGGGGAAATAAATAAATAAATAAATAAGTAAAACGTGTCGTAATACTAACTCGGTCAATCCCCAGAGTCGTTCGTAACTAATTTTGGGACCGAAGTCCCAACTCCATTGATCAAAAGGGTGAAGCCCTTGGAAGCGCAAAATAAATGGTGGGATTCCGGCACAATATTGCTGAGGTGGAGGACCAACAATAACAACACAAGAGCTGGCTTCACACAAATATAAATTTATTCATTCTAAATATATATATATATATATAGATATAACAATACAACAATAAATAACAAAAATTAATAAGCATTGTCCTAGCCAAGATAATAATTAAAGCCTTTAAAATATTTAAAAATTTCTCCAATAAAAATAAAATTTAATTTAAAAATAGAAACGCTATATTTTAGTTAGGCCTAAAATTACCATAAAGCGAAAACATTTAATTGTACTATTTCAAACAAATTTAACTTAAGTTAGGTAAGGTGGCCACCTTATAAAAGTCATTTAAAAACAATTAAATTAAGACCTTTAGTCCTAGGCCTACATTTAAAAATATAATTTTTACTTTTAACAACATGAAAAACATTTACACTATCAGCAAATGTGGTCCCTTCACAAAGCCTTTAAAATATATACCAAGCGGTAAAATAACCGTCAAGGGGAAAAAAAGCTTTTACCCTCAATCAAGGGGTGTGAAGCAGAATTAAAAGAATGGAATTAAAATTTGAATAAAAAATTAAAGTTAAATTAAATTTAGAGATGAAAGCCTAATTAATTAATTTGCAGGTAAAAAGATTACAGGGGTTATTATGTAAGTTAAATCAAAACCGATGTTGAGTCAGATTTCTTCAGGGTGGACGAGACTCTCCAAATGGGCTGGACTGACCTGACCGTTATTATTATTTCATTATTATTATTAAATTTCACACAACTCGAAAATTTGTTATAGGTACAAAGCCAATAACGTCGAGACAATGTATTACGCGTCTGTTTATTCACCTACTAGATAATTTAATTTTTAACAATAGTTAGTCCATTATACAGATAGACTTTAACCCTTGTTGACTTCCAGTTGTTTTAGTTATTTTCACCAAATGTTTGGACGAAAAAAATCAATACCTGGGCTGGTTTGGAAATTTGCATTTAAAAGAGATCTAGAAGAGGCTTGTAAACGGATTTCCTTTGCTTCAATGCACGCTCATTATAACGAAGATAATATCATACTATGTCTAGGGTTAATTCTGTATTTTAGAAAGATTGTTTAGTACGATTAACACATAAGGTAAGAAATCTAAGGCAACTTTACTAAGACATCCATACAGTAGTTTAGCTATAAGGATGGCGTAACAAATAAACTACTTTATTACGCAGCCATAAATTTTAACAATACTTGAAATTAATTAAGCCTTTTTTCGTGTTTAAAGCAGAAAAATCGTCCAGATGTAGAATGATCTATTATTGTGTTGATAATATTACTTGTTTTTTTTATCTTACTAGCTTTATGATCAGTCATACTAATGTGCGTATGTGTTAGCAAGTGTAAAGAGTGATATGGCACTAGAAGACGTACATTTCGAAATTACATTGAAATAAACATAGGCATTCCCGGCTTGTATAAATGATTCCATATTTTTACATTACATGTGTTCAACAAAGCGTAATTCAATGAAACGTTGTCTTGGATCTAAATCCCTTTTAGACTATGAAAATCCTAAGTCAAGAACTCCGACATATTAAATTTTGACGTCAGCCTGGATGCATGTAACATCCGTTACATCGTTGTTCGTGTACATGGTCTGAAAATTTTTGTTTGTTATATATACTGTCGTCATAAAATTGAAAAGTCAACGATTTAAAATTGTATTGCTGGAGTAAATGTTTATCATCATAAGTGTTTAGGGGCTTTACATTATAAAGGACTCGTAGAGATGGGTACATTTGTTTATTTTCTATGCGCAAAATATTCGTGAGAAATTTTTAGTTCACTTGCACAAGTTTTTATTATTATCTTGACCAGCCCAGGCATTGATTTTTTTCGTCCAAACATTTGGTGAAAATAACAAAAAAACTGGAAGTCAACAAGGGTTAAAGTCTATATTATTATCAGGACGAGGAAAAATTAATGTTATTGTATAATGCGTATAATGGACTAACTATTGTTAAAAATTAAATTATCTAGTAGGTGAATAAACAGACGCGTAATACATTGTCTCGACGTTATTGGCTTTGTACATGTTTCATCTATGCTATAACAAATTTTCGAGTTGTGTGAAATTTAATAATGATAATGAAATAATAATAATAATTAAATAATAATATAATTGAACAATAATAATTAAATAATAATAATTATTAAATAATAATAATTATTAAATAATAATAGTTAAATAATACTAATAATAATAACTAATTATGTTCAAAATGTTTTATCGCCACTTGAAATTATTCAAAAATCTAATATCATGATAGTATTACAAAAAATCGCTGTTATCCCTCAAATATTTTTTTCAACGAATTCAAAGTTCTTAATATACCCCAACTCTTTATAAAAAATATAATTCTGTATATTCATAAAAATGAAACGTTCTTGTTCCAACATTTTACACATCAATACCATACTAGATCAACAACTAACCATGGAATTATTACTCCTAGATTAACAAAATCAATAAACAGCACTTCGTCTTTTTATCTTGCAAACATAATTTATTCCCAACTTCCACTAATTATTAAATGCCCCCCTCCTTGCAGTCTACTTACATACAAAAAAATTATTGACAAATGGCTACTAGAAGTTGGCCGTCATAGAATAAAAAAACTATTTCACCTCCATGTACATATAGATACTACTATCATTTCATCAACAACTGCAGTATATCTATGCCGTTGCGTGCGTGTATTTTGTGCATGTTGTGTGTGTTGTGTGTGTGCGTGTGTGTGTGTGCGTGTGTCTGGATGTGTACAGAGCTAGGGACTACACCTGTGGTCCGATTTCGATGAATTTTGGTATGTATGTTCTAATCCATGGTATCTCCAAGCGTTTTTTCGTTCTTTTGAAATTTTGATTTTTAATGAGGATTTTCCAATAAAAACCGGAAAAATCTGATTTTTTCAAATATTTTCCGAACGATTTTGACAAAAAATTTGTATGTTGTAGCCCTTTAAATTCTGAACAAAATGGTACAAATCCCATTTCTGTAAAAAATACGGTTCAAAAGTTATTGTAAATTATGTTATTTCCCATAAAAACCCCATAAAATAACGGAAAAATCGGATTTTCCCAAAAATGGTCCAAACGATTTGGATAAAAATGTATTATTTTATAGTCCTTAATTCTGAACAAAATTGTACTAATCCCATTTCCGTATATTTACTCTCACTGCTTACACACGATGAAGGTTGTTGACAAACTTACGGGAGAAAGTATGCGTCAGAATGCTGATACCGTTTATTTTAATTGTGTGGGATGTGTTGAAAAATGTGTGAATTATAACAGGTTACGTACCTTGACGTCCACAATTCCTTAGTCGGTATTCGTTGACTATAGTTTCGACTACTGCGTAGTCATTATCAAAACGGAACGTTAAAATATTACATTCGTTGAATGTCGTCAGATCTTAAATACATTGAATACACAAACAAACATAACACGAACACGGTAGACATTTAACATAATTTGCCGGCCGGCACACGTCACTGAACTGGTCGACGACGACTGACTATTTACCCCACTCCATTTCGTTTATCAGCTGTGCCTCCAGGACTCGTGTTGCCAACATAATTGTTACCAAAGTGATCTAAGACTGTGTTGAATAATTTGTTTGAACCATAATTAAGTTTTTCATTGAGCATGTTGTACGGGTCGGATTTAGTGGCTTTGTATATTTCAAACTCTTCGAGGGTGTCTAGCATGAAGCCTTTCTTACAAACATGTAGAATTTCTGCATTATCATTAAAACTACTAACAGTATGGTTTGAATTTAATAAATGTTCAGCGAACTTGGATTTTTGTTCTGTTTGTTTTGGTTTATGTAAATGTTCAGAAAAGCGTTTCTTAAATGATCTGCCGGTCTGACCTATGTAATAGTTTGGACAGTCAGAACATTTAATTTTATAAGTACCAGTTGCTAATTCCTTAGGTTTACTGTTGTTCGGCAACCTTTTATTTAGTTTCGCCCCAAGTTTGTTAGACGTTCTATAGGCCAGAGTTAAGCCGTGAGGGTTCAAT